CCATCCACTCACCCATCTACTCACTTACTCACCCACTCACCCACCCACCCACTCACTCACTCACCCACTCACTCACTCACTAACCCACCCACTCACTCACTCACCCACCCACCCACCCACTCACCCACCCACTCACTCACTCACTCACCCACCCACCCACTCACCCACCCACTCACCCATCCACTCACCCACCCACTCACTCACCCATCCACTCACCCACCCACTCACCCACCCACTCACCCATCCACTCACCCACCCACTCACTCACTCATCCACTCACCCACCCACCCATCCACTGGGGTTGCTGTGCCACGAGGCAGTCCAAGTGATGCATGGCTCCGCCACGCTGTGGTAACCATGGCAACGGCTTCCCCGGGCCATGGGGGTCCGCGACGTCATAGCCCTGCATCACTTGGACGTCATAGCGCGTTTTACGCCACAGAGCTTATCACTCGCGTTATGACGTCACGAGCATGCTCTTGTGAGCGGATGACGTCACGAGACGGGTCGCGCGTGGGTGACTTCACGAGACGGTTCGCGTTCAAGGTAAGTTTACGTCACGAGAGGGTTTTGGGGCGGGAGGGAGTTTGCGAGGAGGGAGACGTCACGAGAAGGCGAGTTGTGTGCGTGACGTGACGCGCGAGAAGGTTCGCGCCGTGTGAAAAGTTGCCGTCGCTGAAGGTTTCGGGTGGGGTGAGAAAGGTGACGTCACGAGAAGGTGGGGGGGTACATGACGTCATCGACGGGCTTGGTGTTGACGAGGTACAGTGCGGGCCACTGTTGTTTACGGTAGGAGCGACGCTGTGGAACTATCAACAGTCGTCGTGTGTCTTGTGCGTGTCGTGTGTGTAGCATGTGTGTTGCATGTGTGTAGCATGTGTGTGGTATGTTTGAGCGGCAGTGCAGCGGTTAATGCGCTGCGCTTCAAAAGCAGCGCCCTGAGTTCGATTCCCGCTCGCGGTCAACACCGGTGACTGTTATTTGAACCGGTCCTGGGCCTCCCCTAGGTCGACTCGGCCTCAAATGAGTACCTGGTGCAGTGTGTAGTAAACATCGCCACTGGGGAGACAAAGGCGGTCGGGCGTGGTGCTGGCCACCCACCCCCTGGTGTACCGTTCCGGCCTTCATAGGTGCTCGCTAACAGCACTTGCCCCAACAGTCTGTTACAGGCTATACGGGGGATCCTTGTGTTTGTTGTTGTCTGTGGGTGTAGCGTGCACAGAAGCCAACACACACACGTGGGGCATCGTGTCGCCTTCGGGGGGAGGAGAGGGGGACGCGATGAGGTGAGGGCAGTCGCGTGGAAGGAGCGATCGGCCTGTTCACACCCTAGCCCTGTTGCCTCACCCTAGCCATGTTGCCTGTTCACACCCTAGCCCTGTTGCCTGTTCACACCCTAGCCCTGTTGCCTGTTCACACCCTAGCCCTGTTGCCTGTTCACACCCTAGCCCTGTTGCCTGTTCACATCCTAGCCCTGTTGCCTGTTCACACCCTAGCCCTGTTGCCTGTTCACATCCTAGCCCTGTTGCCTGTTCACACCCTAGCCCTGTTGCCTGTTCACACCCTAGCCATGTTGTCTGTTCACACCCTAGCCCTGTTGCCTGTTCACACCCTAGCCCTGTTGCCTGTTCACATCCTAGCCCTGTTGCCTGTTCACACCCTAGCCCTGTTGCCGGTTCAAATCCTAGCCCTGTTGCCGGTTCAAATCCTAGCCCTGTTGTCTGTTCACACCCTAGCCCTGTTGCCTGTTCACACCCTCGCCCTGTTGCCTGTTCACACCCTAGCCCTGTTGCCTGTTCACACCCTAGCTCTGTTGCCTGTTCACACCCTAGCCCTGTTGCCTGTTCACACCCTAGCCCTGTTGCCAGTTCACACCCTAGCCCTGTTGCCTGTTCACACCCTAGCCCTGTTGTCTGTTCACACCCTAGCCCTGTTGTCTGTTCACACCCTAGCCCTGTTGCCTGTTCACACCGTAGCCCTGTTGCCTGTTCACACCCTAGCCCTGTTGCCTGTTCACATCCTAGCCCTGTTGTCTGTTCACACCCTAGCCCTGTTGTCTGTTCACACCCTAGCCCTGTTGCCTGTTCACACCCTAGCCCTGTTGCCTGTTCACACCCTAGCCCTGTTGTCTGTTCACACCCTAGCCCTGTTGTCTGTTCACACCCTAGCCCTGTTGCCTGTTCACACCCAAGCCCTGTTGCCTGTTCACACCCTAGCTCTGTTGCCTGTTCACACCCTAGCCCTGTTGTCTGTTCACATCCTAGCCCTGTTGTCTGTTCACATCCTAGCCCTGTTGCCTGTTCACACCCTAGCCCTGTTGCCTGTTCACACCCTAGCCCTGTTGCCTGTTCACACCCTAGCCCTGTTGCCTGTTCACACCCTAGCTCTGTTGCCTGTTCACACCCTAGCCCTGTTGCCTGTTTAAATCCTAGCCCTGTTGCCTGTTCACACCCTAGCTCTGTTGCCTGTTCACATCCTAGCCCTGTTGTCTGTTCACATCCTAGCCCTGTTGTCTGTTCACATCCTAGCCCTGTTGCCGGTTCAAATCCTAGCGCTGTTGTCGGTTCAAATCCTAGCGCTGTTGTCGGTTCAAATCCTAGCGCTGTTTTCGGTTCAAATCCTAGCCCTGTTGCCGGTTCAAATCCTAGCTCTGTTGCCTGTTCAAATCCTAGCTCTGTTGCCTGTTCAAATCCTAGCCCTTTTGCCGGTTCAAATCCTAGCGCTGTTGTCGGTTCAAATCCTAGCGCTGTTGTCGGTTCAAATCCTAGCTCTGTTGCCTGTTCAAATCCTAGCCCTGTTGCCGGTTCAAATCCTAGCCCTGTTGCCGGTTCAAATCCTAGCGCTGTTGTCGGTTCAAATCCTTGCGCTGTTGCTGGTTCAAATCCTAGCCCTGGTGCCGGTTCAAATCCTAGCTCTGTTGCCAGTTAAAATCCTAGCTCTGTTGTCTGTTCAAATCCTAGCTCTGTTGCCGGTTCAAATCCTAGCGCTGTTGTCGGTTTAAATCCTAGCTCTGTTGCCGGTTCAAATCCTAGCCCTGTTGCCTGTTCAAATCCTAGCCCTGTTGCCGGTTCAAATCCTAGCGCTGTTGTCGGTTCAAATCCTAGCGTTGTTGCCGGTTCAAATCCTTGCGCTGTTGCTGGTTCAAATCCTAGCCCTGTTGCCGGTTCACATCCTAGCTCTGTTGCCTGTTCAAATCCTAGCCCTGTTGCCGGTTCAAATCCTTGCGCTGTTGCTGGTTCAAATCCTAGCCCTGTTGCCGGTTCAAATCCTAGCTCTGTTGCCTGTTCAAATCCTAGCCCTGTTGCCGGTTCAAATCCTAGCACTGTTGCCAGTTAAAATCCTAGCTTTGTTGCCTGTTCAAATCCTAGCCCTGTTGCCTGTTCAAATCCTAGCCCTGTTGCCGGTTCAAATCCTAGCGCTGTTGTCGGTTCAAATCCTAGCTCTGTTGCCTGTTCAAATCCTAGCTCTGTTGCCGGTTCAAATCCTAGCTCTGTTGCCTGTTCAAATCCTAGCTCTGTTGCCTGTTCAAATCCTAGCTCTGTTGCCGGTTCAAATCCTTGCTCTGTTGCCGGTTCAAACCCTAGCCCTGTTGCCTGTTCAAATCCTAGCCCTGTTGCCGGTTCAAATCCTAGCTCTGTTGCCTGTTCAAATCCTAGCCCTGTTGCCGGTTCAAATCCTAGCACTGTTGCCAGTTAAAATCCTAGCTTTGTTGCCTGTTCAAATCCTAGCCCTGTTGCCTGTTCAAATCCTAGCCCTGTTGCCGGTTCAAATCCTAGCGCTGTTGTCGGTTCAAATCCTAGCTCTGTTGCCTGTTCAAATCCTAGCCCTGTTGCCGGTTCAAATCCTAGCTCTGTTGCCTGTTCAAATCCTAGCTCTGTTGCCTGTTCAAATCCTAGCTCTGTTGCCGGTTCAAATCCTTGCTCTGTTGCCGGTTCAAATCCTAGCCCTGTTGCCTGTTCAAATCCTAGCCCTGTTGCCGGTTCAAATCCTAGCGCTGTTTTCGGTTCAAATCCTAGCCCTGTTGCCGGTTCAAATCCTAGCTCTGTTGCCTGTTCAAATCCTAGCTCTGTTGCCTGTTCAAATCCTAGCCCTTTTGCCGGTTCAAATCCTAGCGCTGTTGTCGGTTCAAATCCTAGCGCTGTTGTCGGTTCAAATCCTAGCTCTGTTGCCTGTTCAAATCCTAGCCCTGTTGCCGGTTCAAATCCTAGCCCTGTTGCCGGTTCAAATCCTAGCGCTGTTGTCGGTTCAAATCCTTGCGCTGTTGCTGGTTCAAATCCTAGCCCTGTTGCCGGTTCAAATCCTAGCTCTGTTGCCAGTTAAAATCCTAGCTCTGTTGTCTGTTCAAATCCTAGCTCTGTTGCCGGTTCAAATCCTAGCGCTGTTGTCGGTTTAAATCCTAGCTCTGTTGCCGGTTCAAATCCTAGCCCTGTTGCCTGTTCAAATCCTAGCCCTGTTGCCGGTTCAAATCCTAGCGCTGTTGTCGGTTCAAATCCTAGCGTTGTTGCCGGTTCAAATCCTTGCGCTGTTGCTGGTTCAAATCCTAGCCCTGTTGCCGGTTCACATCCTAGCTCTGTTGCCTGTTCAAATCCTAGCCCTGTTGCCGGTTCAAATCCTTGCGCTGTTGCTGGTTCAAATCCTAGCCCTGTTGCCGGTTCAAATCCTAGCTCTGTTGCCTGTTCAAATCCTAGCCCTGTTGCCGGTTCAAATCCTAGCACTGTTGCCAGTTAAAATCCTAGCTTTGTTGCCTGTTCAAATCCTAGCCCTGTTGCCTGTTCAAATCCTAGCCCTGTTGCCGGTTCAAATCCTAGCGCTGTTGTCGGTTCAAATCCTAGCTCTGTTGCCTGTTCAAATCCTAGCTCTGTTGCCGGTTCAAATCCTAGCTCTGTTGCCTGTTCAAATCCTAGCTCTGTTGCCTGTTCAAATCCTAGCTCTGTTGCCGGTTCAAATCCTTGCTCTGTTGCCGGTTCAAACCCTAGCCCTGTTGCCTGTTCAAATCCTAGCCCTGTTGCCGGTTCAAATCCTAGCTCTGTTGCCTGTTCAAATCCTAGCCCTGTTGCCGGTTCAAATCCTAGCACTGTTGCCAGTTAAAATCCTAGCTTTGTTGCCTGTTCAAATCCTAGCCCTGTTGCCTGTTCAAATCCTAGCCCTGTTGCCGGTTCAAATCCTAGCGCTGTTGTCGGTTCAAATCCTAGCTCTGTTGCCTGTTCAAATCCTAGCTCTGTTGCCGGTTCAAATCCTAGCTCTGTTGCCTGTTCAAATCCTAGCTCTGTTGCCTGTTCAAATCCTAGCTCTGTTGCCGGTTCAAATCCTTGCTCTGTTGCCGGTTCAAATCCTAGCCCTGTTGCCTGTTCAAATCCTAGCCCTGTTGCCGGTTCAAATCCTAGCGCTGTTGTCGGTTCAAATCCTAGCTCTGTTGCCTGTTCAAATCCTAGCTCTGTTGCCGGTTCAAATCCTAGCGCTGTTGCCAGTTCAAATTCTAGCTCTGTTACCAGTTGACCCTCCGGGATCTCTTTGTGAGGACGTCTCAACGGTGGTGTGGTACTGTGGGAAAGACTTGCCTCCCCCTGCCATATGTATGTGGAATGGCCACACATGCCCCAAGGCTGTAAGTCAGAATCAGAATATTTATACTGCGGTAGGAATCCGATGAGCCGTAAAGCTCTTTTTCACAGATGTCCACTTGGAGGAACGGGGGCAGACCGTTACTTGAGTAATAGATACAAAGCTCATTTGAGCGGAACATTTGAAACTTAAATTGGTCCTGGTTTGTCTTCAAAGCAGTCAATGGCGATTCGCATTCCATTCCTTATCCTGAACGTAAACCCTTGTAATCCGAGAGATGAGCCACAGACCAAGGTCATGTACCCTTGTGTACAGGTGACGTCCGGAGCCCACTTCAACCCCTCGGCTCTGCCCACCAGAGCCGAGTTGTTGCACGAGGCTAAGAAATGCATTGCTCGCCAAATTCACGGCAATCAGTCTCCTCAGCTTACATCGGCTCATTCTTGTGATGTGATGTGATCATTCGTATGCTGAAGTAAGCAATGAGTGGCGCACAGCACACAGCACGCAGCCATTCGGACTCTTGTTCATTCACAGCGTTGAAGCAGGGCCCCCAAAACGACGAGCTGGCCGTGGACCCGCATGGTGAGCTGGCGTGAGCCACGAGCAGCACGAGGCCACAGCTGCACGCGTGAAGAAGAAGAAGGACGGAAGGAAGGCTGGGGAAGCGCCATGCCCCGCGTGCGCAGCGAGTACATGCAGCAGTTCTGCCCAGCGGAAGGTGCGCGGGACGCGGCGTCGCGGTGCTACCAAAGCGGCGTCCAGTACCGGCGGGGCCGGCGCCTGCTCGAGCACGCCCACGTGCCCCTGCTGTGGGACCCGGCTCACGGCGACTCGGACTCCGGCGACGACGGCGGCGGCGGCGGACAAAGCCCTCCGAGGGGCGCGAGCTGGGAGGCGCCGCCACGGGAAGACCAAGCGGAGGGCAGCGGCGGCGGCGGCCCCAGCAGCTGGCAGGTCGACAGCGAGCAAGGGCAAAGCGTGCTGCTGGACAAGCAGGAAGAGCAGCACGGGGGTCCAGCAGAGCCGGCAACTGCGCTTGCCGGTATAAATATGTATAAGGAAATGCAGTTGTAAATTCACGCCACTCCAGAAGTGCCAAAGGGGAGACTGCTGAGGCGTCCTTGAAGGGCACTCGGACAACCAAATTGGTCACAGGATGAGAAGTCATTTATCCTGTCATGAATGGCAACTTAAATGGCTGCAGGCCTTCTCAAACGTTATTATTCATGGGAAATGTTTTTTTTTTGCGTTTGATCGCGTAAGTATAAATGTGTCGTTAAACCCACCACCACCCGACACAGCCAATTAGTAAGGGTTGTCACGTAAATAGAACGTGCCAATTAGCGATGACATCACCTTTACTCTATTTAAGACCGGAAACAGGAAGACATCTTCACAGTTCTGGCAAAGTCGCCTGATGAAGCTGGTTGTGATCACCAGTGAAACGTCGTACTCGAATTGTAAACGTTGTGGGTTTACTCTCCAACACACCGGTGTCCTGAACTAGTAAATAAATGGCACGTTTTGTTTACGTGACAAACCTTACCAATTGGCCGTGCTGGCGGGTTTAACGACACATTTATATTTTCGCGATCTAATCCAAAAAACTTTACTATTAATCTTAAATGGCATATGTGACCTCATCTCACTCGGGTTATGCAAATTGCTATGATTGATTGCAGAGTTCTGGTTGTTTATAAGTTATGTTTTTGGTCATGTTCTCTGCAACACCTCTAAACCATTCACCTGCCCGCACACCTGCATTTTTGGCCAGGCTGCATTTGAAAAAAAACTTGTTTTGAGCTTCATTGGCCATCCGCGAAATAATCTTGACTGAAAAATAGGTGGAAGCCGTCAATGATCGTTGTTCTCTGGTTGTGCACCAGGTGGTTTTTGGGCACCACTGCTGTGCCCCAAAGCCACCTGGTATACAGGAGGTCATGGTGTCGACCCTGACGCATGTATATTTGAAGTTTGCATATTCTCTCCATGGTCGCGTGGATTTTTCTCCGGGTGCTCCGGTTTTTCCCTCCACATTTAGAATCATCGTGCGTTTAGAGTATTTGGTTACTGCTATACATTCTCACGTGATAAGCCATTTCGTTGAGCCATAACTTGTGGCCAGGTCATTTCTGAAAATACCTATATAGCTCAGTGGGCCTGTCCTGGTCAAATAACAATATTATATAGAATAATGCAAAGGCAATAACAATGGATAGTCCATACATTGGTGCTCACATGTGGCTCTGTGTATCTGTGTGTTAAAGGTGAGCGGTTGCACAAGAAAGGGAAGAGGAAGAAATTGGCGATCAAACAAGATCCTGCCAAAAAAGAAACACAAGCTGCTGGCTCCTGCTTAACTGGACGTAACGAAACCAGTGCCCAGTTTGCTTCTGGCTCTGCCCAAAGGGTAGTAGCATCCAACCGTAACGCCAAAATAGCATCTCCACACATGTCCAAAAGTCAAAAATCATATACCCTGTTTCCCAGGGCCACGCATCAAAGACCACCATTCCTGAGCTATGGCTGGGCAAACGACGTTCTGGAAACTGGCAGAAAAAAGACTCACAATATTCTCCCTTCTGCTTCAACCGTACAAGTGAGTGTCATAAAACGAGGAACTCCGTTAGATATAATGTCCAAATTAATGTGGTACCTAGTATATTCCCAGAGTATGTATATAAGTATGTAAATATATATAAAAGAAAGGGCCATAGATTGTAAGTGTTGTGGCTTTGCTCTCCCAACACACCGGTGTGCTGTACTCGTAACGAATTGGCATGTTCTGTTTACGTCACAAACCTTACTTAATTGCCTGTGTCGGTTGGTGGCGGGTTTAGCGACACATTTAAGTAGTTACGCGATCTAACCAAAAAAACCTGTATATTCGACTACTGTAGGGTATTAGCCAGCTCATTTAGCTACAACACTGATTAAATGAAGTGTTATAATATTACTGGCCAAGGAATGCAAGTTTTATCTGTAGGTTTTACTACATTTTAGCAATGTAACCAGCCTTGACCAGTTTGAACAAAGTCAACAGTTTAGATCTCAAACAGTGTATTTGAACAAAACAAATTACTTCGTGTTTGTAAAAAGCCATCAAGTAATATTGCCCATACTGTTGCATATTGTGTGCGAGCGTTGTGCAAGTGTGCGTGCGCGCGTGAGGAAAACGTGCCGAAACATGCATTTGTGTATACTTTTAATAAAATGTATATGAGATGCCCTATTCCAAAAAAAACACATCTAGTCAAATTGTGCAGTGTCAGCATGAACTTTTGACACATCCGTGTTTAAGTTTCTCGTGACATTTGCTATGCTAGCAATAGGAGTCCTGAGAGCAATACTGTGAGACTACTTTTGAATTCTGGTTTCCCGTCGGACATAAAGTTAATATGGTATCGGGTATCAAGTTTGAGTGTTTAATCTCAGTCGTCAATCACTTCGTTTAAGGAATATTGCATAACGTGTATAATGTGCTGAGAGGGTGAATTGTAGGTAAAAATAGAGCAAAAAGCCCAAGGTCAGCTTAATCGTGTACCTACAATTTGCCTTTTAGGAAAAAATTCAAGCGTTCTAGATGCTTTTTAATCATGTTTTTAAGATTTGCATTATTACATATTTGAAACGCTGGGCATTACTTGTGCACATGTGGGTGACTTCTCTTTCCATGTTCTGTACACCACATTTGTCCAATCGTGGCTCAATTTCCTGCTTTCACGAATAATTGAGGTTCTACTTTAATTTCTATGATGACATTCAGCTATTACAGAAAACTCTAATTGTGTAAGCCTTTGTTTAAAATTGTTTATTTGTTTTAGATTCACGAGTCTGCGATGAAAGCGATGCACAAGCGGAAGAATGCGAGGCTGCAGTTCAAAAAGAAGAAAGCGCAACTGGCAGAGAAGCACCGGGAACATTTGCAGGCCACGTCTGACGTGGACAACCCATGGATGTCTGAATATCAGCGAAGTTATTCGGCAAGAACAAGATAGCTTTAACATTCTTATGGGTTATCTTGAGCAGAATTTTTGTTTTTTTTATGAACAGCCAGTGATCAAAATGTAAATGTGTATGTTCCCGTATGCGACCTATTGGGCCTTCATCCCACGTTAACTGCCGTTCAATACACGTCTGGTGTTCTGAGAAGCGCCAGTACGGCATACCATCGTATACCGGCCCATATCGATCAGCTGTTAATCAGCAATGTGGTGGCATTCCAGATTTTATATAGAATTTGCAGGGCATTCTTCACGTGTTGTCTACCCATAGCAATATGCTTTGCAGTGGATGCTTTGGAAGCACATCTGAAATCCTCATGACACCAAGAACCCGTAATGTGTAGTTACATGGTCTAATTGTTCGTCTAACACTGTTTAATATTTTTGTTACACATTTCCACAAAGTAGTTTTTTTAAAAACAATTCTTAGGAATGCGTATTGGGGAAATGGGAGTAGTATTCCATTGGTCAACAGATGAATGTGACGTCAACGTCACGGTACAATTTTAACTGTAAGTAGAAATGTGTTAAATGATGTATCTGCTAACGTGGTAACATCTCGTAAATTAAGCCATATAGTTGTAAATGTGTGTCATACTACGGTAACCTTTAGACATTTTTGTCCATACTATTGTAATCGAGCTCATGTAAGAACACTTGTGGTTGCGTCGTAAAGAAAAAGCATACCTAGGCAATAAAAGGTGGTTTATTGCAATTTTGTGTAAGTACACATTATGGTAAATACTAAACTACCATACCTTAATGGTCTCATATCTTACTCGGTACCTTATTAACAACTCTATGCCCCGACAAGAAGAGTTGAAATCGATACGTCAAACCTCCTATGAAATATGGACGACCACAAACAATGTAAACAAAAGCTGAATTATGCTCCAAATGCATCGCGAGATGTGCGTCACGGATTAAACGGAGAGAAAGAGTGAACAGCTGGGTCGGGGTTCAAACAAAGTGACATCGATCAATGAAAGTACCCCGAGCTTGATAGAAGGGTTGATGGCTGGTGGAGAAGACTGGCGATGAAATGGCAGTCGTAAGGTGAGGGGAGCACCTGAGGGGGGATGGCTGCTGTGGAGGTGGAGCGATGGGATCGGTTCGGCATGGGGAACTCTTCATTCGATGGCGGATCATAGCTGAAGATTTCACGAAAAGCTGCAATTATATATATTTTAAATCTGTCATTCTCCGTTTGGGGGTAAAAAAAAAAATGTGTTTACAATTTTACAAATTACCTTTGGACTTTTCATTTTACTTAAATATTTCGTTTCAATGTATCTTGTCAGCTCTGAAAAACCCACAAGCTTTGGTGTTTTAGAGCTGTGGGGCAAGGCTTTAAAAGCTGCATCACGACAAGTGGTTTTCATAACCACGCTTATGATTCCGTGCATGGCTCTCATTACTTTGATTCTGCATAATTTGCTTGTAGACAACCGTGGGACTAACTCAATAGTGTCATCGAAATAAAACAGACTACCTTCATATCTCCTCGCACCGGCTTTTAGTTAGCCATCGTACAAAGACGATCACTGCATCGAGTTCTTTCGGATGCGTTTCTGCAGCCGTCCGGAACACTCTTCCGATATTAGGAAGCCACTGGAGCGATGCACTGTTAAATTGTCTAGATTGACAAACTCATTGCTTTAGAATCGGTGTCTTTTGCGTGTGTTTAGCTTGCTGTCCTTCCCCCGCACCTTTGATTAGCACGGTTGGCTACGTACGGTGCAAAAGAAGCTCAACATACACACATCTCCGTCTCCACTTAAAAAGAAAGCATTCCATACACAACCCATAAGCCGCACAGCCTTCTGGGAGAGCATGAATTCAGCAGTTTTTATTCAAGGCAAGGAATGCTGCTAGTTTATGCATTCTCATAAGGCTGTGCAGCCGATGGGTTGTCGGAAATACAGTGCTTTTACAGGCAGTCATCGACTTACGAACATCCCCACTTACGAACCAGCTTCCATTTTTTTGTTTTACATTGACTTAAAACGCAAACTCGCACTTGCAAATTGAACCGCAGCACTATTTGATTCAGCTGAGTGATCCTCCGCGAGATGTTAAATGGGTCGGCCTCGTTCTGGGAGTGAGCGTTTGTGTGTGGGTATTTAAATACAGTAGATTGTGGTGTTCCGACTTACACACCGTTCTACTTACGAACGGGTATGCTTAAAGGTGTTTATTGACTGTCAGTATAGGTTTGAGGTTGTCACTATATATCAATATATCATATTTTGTATTTAACATCCTCACATCATACATTACAACATTCTGACGTTCTGGGCGATAGTACCAGGGGCATCGACGGCATCTGGCACACCGGACTCATCAGAGCAGGCTGGGGGAGGGGGGAAGGGATTTTCTTTGTGGGGAGGTGGGGCGGTTGGCCGGTCATTGCCGTCCTGGGTTCAGGTGTTTTAAGACTGTTCCAAGGTTAAATTGTTTAAGACTGGTTTAAGATTCAATTGTTTAAGACTGGTCCAAGGTTCAATTGTTTACGACTGGTCTAAGGTTCAATTGATTAAGACTGGTCTAAGGTTCAATTGTTTAAGACTGATCTAAGGTTCAATTGATTAAGACTGGTCTAAGGTTCAATTGTTTTAAAACTGGTCTAAGGTTCGTTTGTTTACGACTGATCTAAGGTTCAATTGATTAAGACTGGTCTAAGGTTCAATTGTTTTAAAACTGGTCTAAGGTTCAATTGTTTAAGACTGTACTCTTTGGTTCTTTCGGTAAAGTCACGTAGGTATAAAATAAAATTCAATCACGACGTTTTGGGCGCAACACAGGCGTCCGTTATCAGGTGGGACAACCACAGCAAGAAACAATTGCTGAAGTGGGCAAAAGGGCTGCTTGTAACAAGAGGCTATATAGGTAAGAGAGGGGGGGGGGGTTGTCCCACCTGATGACGGACGCTTGTGTAGCACCCGAAACGTGATTTAATTTGATTTCATACCCACGTGACTTTTCCGAAAGAACCAAAGAGTATGAATCTCTGCAGTCACGAAAACTTCAAATCTAGATTGTTTAAGACTGGTTTAAGATTCAATTGTTTAAGACTGGTCTAAGGTTCAATTGTTTAAGACTGGTCTAAGGTTTATTTGTTTAAGACTGGTTTAAGATTCAATTGTTTAAGACTGGTCTAAGGTTCAATTGTTTAAGACTGGTCTAAGGTTCATTTGTTTAAGACTGGTTTAAGATTCAATTGTTTAAGACTGGTCTAAGATTCAATTGTTTAAGACTGGTCTAAGGTTCATTTGTTTAAGACTGGTTTAAGATTCAATTGTTTAAGACTGGTCTAAGGTTCAATTATTTAAGACTGGTCTAAGGTTCAATTATTAAAGACTGGTCTAAGGTTCATTTGTTTAAGACTGGTTTAAGATTCAATTGTTTAAGACTGGTCTAAGGTTCAATTATTTAAGACTGGTTTAAGGTTCAATTATTTAAGACTGGTCTAAGGTTCAATTATTTAAGACTGGTCTAAGGTTAAATTTTAAGACTGGTTTAAGATTCAATTATTTATGACTGGTCTAAGGTTCAATTATTTACGACTGGTCGAAGGTTCAATAGTTTTAAGACTGGTTTAAGATTCAATTGTTTAATACTGTCTAAGGTTCAATTATTTAAGACTGGTCTAAGGTTTAATAGTTTAAGACTGGTCTAAGGTTCAATTATTTAAGACTGGTCTAAGATTCATTTGTTTAAGACTGGTCTAAGGTTCAATTGATTAAGACTGGTCTAAGGTTCCGTTGTTTGAGACTGGTCTAAAGTTTAGGAATGAACCACATGTTCGTGTGGATTCTTCTTCCTTGCCTCGAGCTTATCGCTCATATGCTCAAGCGCTGAGATTGGGCCAAACGAATTCAGCCATTGAGTATGAGAGGGGGTTCGTGATTTAGAGTTGTCAGATTCAGGGGGCTTCCTTCCTGTCCCATACCCAGTGACTTTAGCACCCCCGCTTAGCTCCGTGGCCCACTCAGCTGACGAAAGCGGTCTTTGGGGCCGTCCATAAATGACGTCACGCGATTTGGACAATTTTTGACCCCCCCCCTTCGTCACACGGCGTCAAAAAAAGTCAGACCCCCTCAAATATGACGTCACAAAGCTCTGCCCCCCCCCAAATAAAAATTGCTTCAAATCGCTTTAAACTATTGTCATTGTGGTGCGTATTTAATGTGGCGCTGCGCTCTGATGTTGCAGGAGAAAACATTTATTTAAAAGTCTATTTAATTAAGTAGAACGTGTTGTTTATATCTATTTAAAGTTGCGCATTTTGATGTGACGTCACATGTCTCACCCCCCCCCCCCCATCGTCAAAAAATGCCTGACCCCCCCCCCCCCAGGTGCGTGACGTCATTTATGGACGGCTCCTTTACTCCATGGCCCGTAGCATGGGGGCGTACGACCACAATCGCACGACTGTGGCTTGCTTTAATTTTCCGACTCGTGAAGGGAGGCAGGTGTGTGCATCGGCGATGTTCCGTTGCAGTTGGGATGGTTTGCGCCAGTTGTCTGCAAAGTGTGAAAATCACGAGTGGCTACGTTCAGGGTCTCGAAAGATGCGTTTATCCTGCAGGCGTCGCCCAAGTCGTGGGACCAGCTGTCGAGACGATTTTGGCGGAACCTGTTGCCTAAATGTTGACCCAGAAATGTGTTGCTTGCATTCGATCTCCCGACAATAATTCGCGCGTACGTGCCTGTCTTCTGCGCGATAACATGCGCCGCGTTGCCAATCGTGGAATGCGTTCCACTAACCACCGATTAGGAATCGGCGAAACGGTTATTCACATTAACCGTATCATAATTGGTTAGTGTATGACCCGTTCCGCCGGGGGGCTTCGACACCACGCGGCCGCATCACGCGTCGCTGAAGGCGGTTCGCAGGGCAATCGCAGTGAGCTGGGCTACTGTTGGGGGGCAAAGCGATCAGCAGCAGCAGCCGACGACGACGAGGTGTGGTAACAATTTGCGTTAGCAGACGAGTGATGCGGCTGCCCGTGCACTCGGCACGTGGGGGGAAAGCGGACTCTGTGCGGCATTCTCTCCGTGGGGTCAGCGGTGGCCGCCGGGGTCATCGTGCACGGACTCCCTCGCGATTCACTCGCGGGCAGCGGTTGGTTGATGGCTCTGATGCGCTGGGCCGTGTTATCCAATAGGCCACAGGAAGCACTGTGCCGAGGGTCTACGAAAACTAAAAGGGTCTATGGGGAAAAAACAAACCAATTTAGAATGTTTTTTTTGTTTGTATGCATGATCAAAAAAAATTTAAGCAAGGCATTTTCTTGAGTAAATATATTGATGTAGCAAGGATAGGCACAGTGTAGATACAAGGAGGCAGAGGCATGTTAGTGTCAAATTCTTTTTTTTTTCATAATGTGAGAGAGAAATTAACACCGGAGATGCACTTTTCGAGATTTTTTTATTGAAAATTTTGCAACGACATCTTCAAACGGTGACTTTCACACAATGTCATTCTCAGTAGAGAGCGGTGCAAGGGAAGACAAGGCGGTGTGACATGGGGCAGCAGCTGTACCAACTCCAGAGAGTTGTCACTGAAGACCCTAGGGCCTACAAGAACCTTGATCAGGTGCTGCTAGTCGCGGGCTACAGTCGGTTTGGTGGCTCTGATGCATATTCCACGACGCCCCAATAATAGAATGAGAGCAATGATCGAATGAGAGTGATAGAATGAGATCAATTGATGGAATGAGAGCAATGATAGAATGAGGTCAATGATGGAATGAGATCAGTGA